GGAAAGTGCCTCGTTATTAGAGAAACTGAACATGAGCTGGGTTCAGTCTGCGCTTGCAGCCCAGAAACCAGCCGTGTCCTGGGCTGCATCAAAAGCAGCATGAAGGAGGTGATCCTGCCCCTCTACTATGCTCTTGTGAGACACCATTTGGAGCACTGTGTGCAGTTCTGGTGTCAACATAAGAAGGACAAGTCCAGATGAGGCCATGAGGATGATCAGGGGCTGGAGCACCTCCCGTATGAAGACAGGCTGAGAACATTGGAGCTGTTCAGCTGGAGAAGAGAAGCTGCGTGGAGACCTCAGAGCAGCTTCCAGTATCCGAAGGCGGCCACAAGGATGCTTGAGAGGGACTCTTCATCAGGGACTGTAGTGGTAGGGCAAGGTGTTGATAGATTCAAACTTAAACAGGGGAAGTTCAGGTTAGACATAAGAAAGATGTTCTTTGAGGATGGTGAGGCCCTGGCACAGGTTGCCCAAAGAAGTGGTAAATGCTTCATCCTTGACAGTGTTCAAGGCCAGGCTGGACAGAGCCTTGGGTGACATGGTCTAGTGTGAGGTGTCCCTGCCCATGGCAGGGGGTTGGAACTAGATGATCTTAAGGTCCTTTCCAACCCCAATTATTCTATGATTCTGTATGATTCTATTAATGATTCTTGCATATATAATAGGAAAATAGAGGGGTAACTAGCACCTTGTGTGCTGAATTTCTAAACTAATTCAAAAGAGGAACAGTGCAATCAAGGACTTAGAACTGGAGGGAAGTCTGGTAACTCTAATGTCTGGTAACTCTAATGTTTTAATGAACATAAAAGTTACTGTATCGTAATACAAATGGTAACCCTTTTTAAAGAAAATACGCAAAATTCAGGGAGGTAAGTGAACAAAATAGAATAAATATACTAAAATCGCCTGCCACAGTAATAGCAGAACAGGTTCCCAGCTGGGAATATGGCAGCTGCATCAGAAGTAGAGCAGTTATGGGGAGACATAAGACTCTGTACAGAAATCATTGCAGTTGTTTTAGGAAACAGACGACACAGAAGGGTGTCATAACAGGCAATAGTAGAACTGAGTTAATACTAATTGTGTGGTTTTAGGGGAAAGGGAGTTGTAGAGCTGTATGAATGCTACATCTGCATGGGAAAGCCAGGCCTTGTGGCAGTTGGTATACAGAATGGGGTGGGTATTTTAAAGAAAGCACTGACCTTTCCTGCTCCTGTGGTCTTCATGGATTTTCCAGATAGCTTCTCATGGCTTGCTGCTCCTGGTCTATTGGACAGCATTTGCTGATTGCCAGCATGTGCTCTCTAAGGAGTGCTGCTGTTTGTAAGCTGTGAGTGTCCATGGCGATGAAACATGCCAAGTCACAAAAGAAGTTCTGCAGTGAGATTCTCGTAGCTGTTTCAGTTCCCAGCTCGGTTGCGGGGCCTGACTATGATATTTGTTACTTATTGGCATCAGGGTCCTGGTTTCAGCTGGAATAGACAATCAGTTAAGCAGAAACACAAAGGCAGTTTGGCTTCTAAGATTAAGATTTATAGTGGCCAATGTATTAATGAGGAAACAGCCTCAGCTCACTGCTAAAGGCAAAGGTATGACTTAAGATACAGTCCTTTTTGGGAATTAGGTGCCAGTATCTGCTGGAGCATTTCTGGTTCATATATTTGCATTTTCTTTCCAACAGTTTGGCAAGCAGCCTCAGGTCCCACAAAGTGAAGAAGGGGTGTGTGTATATGGGGATTTTTGTGACATCTGAAAGGCAGATGCTAGAAAGGAGTTTTGCAGATGCAGTTCTTATTTATGGAGGAGTTTCTGCTTTTGGAGAGGAAATGAATAGTTTAGGAGGCAATTCCTGCATTTTGTAGGGAAAATGAGCTAATCCTGGTACATGAGAATTTTTGTTTCTCTCTGTGTGTAACAGTATAAGCTTGGCATATCTGTGGCATAGGGCAATGAATTTCACTGGTTTACTTTTTCATCTAACCTGGCTATTTGTGACTAAAGTACAAGTTCCTCGAAATGCATCTAAACTTGAACACAGTAATAATGGAGACTACTTCCTTTGCTTGTTTATTGCAGTGGTTGATCGGTTTGCATAAAAACGTCTGAAAGTGAAATTTTTCTTTTCTAATTTCAATTTTATAGCTTCAGATTTTACTGATTTGTAGGTGGTTTGCTGATAGATCAGAGCACCCTTCTATGTGGTTTATGCACAACAGTGTGGTAGTGGAGGGCAGGGGCTGCAGGGTTGGCTTCTCTGGGAAGACACTGGATACTGGCCCCATGTTGTATGGAACCAAATGGCTTTGAGGACCCACCACTGGCCAAAGCAGAATCCAGCAGCAATGGTGGTAGTGCCTCGGTGATGGCATATTTAAGAAAAAGTAAAGATGCTGCGCAACAGCAAAAGAAAGAGGGGAGTGAGAATGTGTGAGAGAAACAGCTGTTCAAACGGCAAGGTCAGGGAGGAAGCAAGCAGGAGGTGCTCCAGGCAGGCTGTCTCCCTGCAGCCCATGGAGGTCCATGGTGGAGCAGATATCCCCCTGCAGCCCAGGGAGGACCCCCACACCGGACCAGGGGGATGGCTGAAGCAAGCTGTGACCCTGTCAGAGGCCAGCACTGGAGCAGGCTCCTGGCAGAACCACTGGAGAGAGGAGCCCACACTGGAGGTTTGCTGCACAACTTGTGACCTCGCGGGGAACCCACACTGGAGTAGCCTATTGCTAAAGGACACACCATGTGGAAGGGACCCAGGCTGGAGGAGTCCATTTGGGGGGAGGCAGCGCTAAAGAGGCGGGGCCAGACCTGACTGAAGCCCACAGTGGCTCCCGAGGCTGGTGCTTGCAGTGAAGGTTGGACCTGATTGAAATCCGTGTGTTGATTTGGCCACTGTCCTATAGAAAGCATCCTAGAGAATCCTGCTCAAATTGCTCACAGGCCCACCTGAAGTGCCCCAAACATGCCCAGATTAACCACATTCAGCTCAAATTGCCCCAAACCCCACCTGAAATTCCCCCAAACCAGCTGAAATTACATAAAACTCAGCCAAAACCAGCTTGAATTGCCCCCAAATAGCAAAAAAAAAAAACACCAAACTGCCTCAAATGGCCTTAAAACCAGACAGAAATGTCCCAAGCCCACCCCAAGTGCCCCCAAACCTGCCCAAATTGCCCAAAATGCCCCAGAGCAGCTGAGTGTGCCAAAATAACCTGAACCAGCCTGAAATGCCACAAACTGCCCCAACCCCCCACCCAAATTGCTTCAAATCAGCACAGATGACTCCCAAAGTGGCTTTAACTGTCCTAAACCAGACCCAAATAGCCCCAAACTCCCCCAAATGGGCCCAAATGCTCCAAAGCAGCTCATAATGCACCCCAAATGCCCCCAAATGGCTGGAATTACCCCCAGTTATGCACAAATAGCCCAATTTGCCCCCAAACTAGCTCAAACCCTTCCAGAAATGCCCCCAAAGCACCTTCAAATGCCCCAAATTACACTCAAGCCACCAGATCCCAAAGTGCAAACATCCAGACCCCGCTCCTAACCTCAGGTGCAGCAGGACAGAAAACTGCTGCTGGGCCTCACCTACACACAGTGTCCTCAGGAACAGTGCCACCAACGTGGCAATCCGCTCCTGCTTATCCACATAAAGGTTCATTTGTGTCAAGCCTCTGTGGGCAGCATGCTCAGGCAACCCAGAAACCAGCTCCCTGAGTGCAAATGTCCGGCCCCTGTTGCTAAGCCTAAGGTGCCAGGACAGAAAGCTGCTGCTGAGCCTCACTTACTCACAGTGAGCTCTGCAACGCTGCCGCCACCACCATGGATAGCCACTCTTACATATCCACTTGAAACTCCGTGTGTACGACCTTGCACAGCGGTGCTCTCAGATTCCCCATGAACCACCTCCTTAAGTGTGAATGTCCAGACCCTGTACCTAAAGTTAATGTGTTAGGACAAAAACAAATAACTGGGCATTTCCTGTGCCCTCTGGACCAGTGCCACAAATATGGATATCCCCACTTACACTTACCTAAAACTCCATCTATGGAAACCTCACTGGACAGCACTCTCTGCTGACCCACAGACCAGCTCCCTAAGTGCTGTTCAGCCATGGCAACTGCTAAGAGGACTCCACGTCCAGTGCTCATCGCTAACTAGAAGATAGCTCTAACTGTGGATTGCTCCACCCCAACCAGAGCTGCTTCAGCTTGAGGAGATTGTAGTGTGTTCACACATGGGGTGATTGAGGGGTAATTTGAGGCTCACTTAATGCAAAGGGGTTGCATGGACCTGGCAGATCAAGCAGTCCCACCACTCACTCATGTACATGGTGTTATTTCCACATCCAGCCTATGGTGCTGCAATTAATTCCATCTAACTGATCTATCTCTGCCTGTTTTACTGACATTATACCAGTCCAGATGCTATGTTATTCCCCCCATCCCAATTCTGACATGCACAAATGAAACCAAAAACACCAAAATGAAATGAAACGCAAGAAAAACAGCTGCCCAAACAGATTTTTTTTTCACTTTATTCATTTTTTCATTAGTTTTCGCCCCATATGCTCACAATTCTATAGATTTTCATTTTGCTCATTAGTAGGCAGAGGGAAAGGGGGGGAATAATTCTGAAGCGTTTGTTTCCATATGGTTTTCCCCCCTTTTTTTTAGCACTGCACACATGTGCCACGTGTCAGGGTCTAACAAAAGCAGAACCAGGAAAACCGCTCCGAGGAGCGCTCCCCGGAGGATGAAAACCGGGCTGGGAGCAGCGGTTTCGGAGCCCGCTGCCTCTGCGGCACCGAAAAGGTGAGCGTGTGCTGCCACCGTGTGTCCAAACGGCGGTACTGCATGTGCAGACGGGAGCGGCAGCGTCTCCGGGCGCCGCTCGCTGCTGCCATCTTGTGTCGAAATCCCAGTACTGATGGGACGGAAAGGGGGCCGCGCTGTGGCCCCGGGCACCACCCGCTGCTCCCCTTCCCTGTCGAAAATTGAGCACCGAAGCGGGCTGTGATGGGGGGAAAGCGGCTGGGGGCCGCGTTCCGGTGCTACCGTGTGTGCAAACCGCGGCACTGCGCGTGGGGAAGCAGAGGAACGGCGCCGGGAGACGATCGGTGCTGCGATCACGTGGCCAATAATCGGTACGGCACGGGGTGTAGAAAAGAGGCTGCACTTGTGGCGAAGAACCAATCAGAGCGGCGGAAGGGCCGGGCTACGAATGATTGACGGGAGCCTCAGCCAATGGCGGCACTGGGGAGGCTGATGCATAACAGCGGAAAGGGGGGGAGGGTCTAAGTGTGATTGACGAGCCCTCCAGCCAATGGTGGCCTGGGGGGCGGTGGCAAAACGGACCGGAAGTGGGGCGGGGCTAAGGGAGATTGGCAAGATCTCCAGCCAATGGTGACCACGGGGAGGGGGGCGGTGGCAAAACAGACCGGAAACGGGGCGGGGCTAGGAGATATTGACAAGCACTCCAACCAATAGCCGCAGCAAGGAAGAGGTGGAAAAAAAGACAGGAAGTGGGGCGGGGCTAAGAGTGACTGACGGGCGCTCCAGCCACTGAGCGCCGTGGAGGGACTGTGGGGAAAACGGACAGGAAAAGAGGCGGTGCTAAGAGTGACTGACGGACCTTCCAGCCAATGACCGCCGGGGGGGGCGGTGGCAAAATAGACCGGAGGCGGGTCGGGTCTAAGAGAGAGATTGACAAAGGATCCAGCCAATGGCGCCGTGGGGCGGGCGTTGGCATAACAGACAGGAAGCGTGGCGGGACTAAGGGAAATTGGCAGGAGTTCCAAGCAGTGGCCGCCGGGGGGGGGGGGGGGGGGGGGGCTCGTGGAAAAATAGCGCAGAAGCGGGGCGGGGCTAAGAAAGATTGACAAGAGCTCCAGCCAATGGCTGCCGTGCGGGGAACGGAGGCGTAACAGACCGGAAGTGGGGAGGGGCTAAGGTGATCGGCAAGCGCTCCAGCCAATGGCCGCTGTGGGGGGGCGTCGGCAAGACAGACCGGAACAGGCGCGGGGCTAAGAGTGACTGACAATGACAGCCGCGGGGGGGGGGGGGGGGGGGGGGGGTGGTGCTGCCAATGGCGCCCGCGGGTTGCCTGAACGCCGCTCCCGTTGCCACTCAGCGACTCCTCCCCTGCAGTACCAAGTTTCGGCCACAGGATGGCAGCACCTAGCGCTTCACTGAGCCACTCCTTTGTGCCCCCCTCCCCCCCCCCCCCATCTCCATCACCTGTAGTACCTGCTCTTGGCCAGACGGCAGCAGCGAGCCTTGTCCAGCTCCACGCCATGCCTCCTCCCACCCCTCTGCAGTACCGAAGTTTGGACACGTGGTGGCAGCACACGCGGACTTTTCGGTACCAAAGTAACTTTTTTTTTTTTGTCCCGTACCTAAAATGAGAGAAGAAATAGGCAAAAATGGGTTAGAAAAGGAAAAAAAAAATTTTGTAAGATTTAAACCACCTTACAAATGGTCAAAGACTAGAAATGGCCCAAAAGGGATTAAAACAAGTAAGAAGTGGGTAAAACGGGTTAGAAATGGGCAAAAATGGATTAAAAGGGGTTAGAAGTGGGCAAATACGGGACAGAAATGGCCCTAAATTGTTCAGAAATAGCCAAAAAAAAAAAAAGCTTTAAATGGGTTAGAAATGGGAAAGATGGGTTAGAAATAGCCAAAAATGGCTTAAAACTGGTAAGAAATGGGCAAAAAATGGGATAGAAATGGCCATAAATTGTTTAGAAATAGACAAAAATGGCTTAAAGTAGGTTAGAAATGGGGAAAGTGGCTTAGAAACAGAAAAAAATGGCTTCAAACGGGTAAGAAATGGACAAAAATGTTCTTGACGTGGCAAAAATTGCGTTAGAAATGAAGAAAAAAGGTGTAGAAATGGCCAAAAATGGCTTAAAACAGGTTAGAGTTGGACATAAAAGGGTTACAAATGGCTAAAAATGGCATGAATAGAATTACAAGTGGCCAAAAATGGCTTAAAACTGGGGACAAATGGGCACAAATGGGTTAGAAAAAGAAAAAAGTGGGTTAAACTGAGTTAGAAATGAGCCAAAAAGAGGTGGAAATTGGGGAAAAAAATGGCTTTAAACAGGATAGAAGCGGACAAAATCGGGTCAGAAGCAGCAAAAAGTTTAGAAATAGCAAATAAAAGCTTACAACCGTTTAGAAGTGGGCATAAATGCACTAGAAATAGACAAAGACGGGTAAAAATGGGTTAAAATTTGGCAAAAATGAGTTGGAAATGGCCAAATCCAGTTTCGAAATACAAAAAAAAAAAAAAAAAACCAAACAAAAACACATTAAAATGGGTTAAAAAGGGAAAAATGTGTAAAAAAAAAACAACAAAACCAAAATGGCTTAAAATGGGTTAAAAATTACCAAAAATGGCTTAAACCAGGTTAGAAAATGTCAAAAAATGGTTAGAAGTGGCCAAAAGTGGGTTAGGAATGGCCAAAACCGGTTTAGAAATGGGAAAAGGTTTAAAATGGGTTAGAAATAGCACAAAAAAATGGCTTAAACCAGTGAGAAATGGGCAAAAATGGGATAGAAATGGCCATAAATAAATGGCTCCTTCGCTCCTTTTTTCCCCTCCTTCCTTCAATCTTTCCTTTTTCCTTCCCTTCCTCCTTTCATTCCCTCCTACCTTCCTTCAGAATGAGAGTGAACACAAGAGCAGAGGTTCTGAGGCAATCTAATGGAAGAGAAGGTAAGGGTACAATTGAATATGGGGAAGAGAACAGAAGGGAAGAGAATTTAAGACATTACTAGAAAAGAGCATCTAGGGGAAAAGAATATCAGGGAACGTAAGAGATCTAATAGAGTCTAACATTATAAGATTAAAGAAGAGAATTGAAGAGCATCTAAGAAGAGAATATAGGGGAGAGAACATGGAATATAAGAGAATCTAAGACTAGAAGAGTAGAGAAGAGAATCTAAGAGAAGCCAAGAGAGAAAAATTTAAGAGCATACAGGAAAAGGAAGAAGAAATGTAGAGAATTTAAGAAACGGAAACAGAAGAGACCATAAAGAGTATACAAGCAAATAAAATAGAAGGGAATCTAAGCGAAGAGTATGTAAGCAAATATAGAAGAGAGACGGGAGTAAGTGAAAACACTATACAGGGTAAGACAATAGAAGGGAAAAAAGAAAATGTTAGACTATAAAAAAAGGGAAGAGAATATAAAAGAGGGAAGAGACTCTAAGAGAGAAGAAGGGAAGTGAAAAGAATATAAGAGAAAGGAATATATGAGGAGAGACTATAAGAGAATCTAAGATAAGGGAAGAGAATGTAAGAGAACGTAAGAGAACTTAAAAGAAAAGGGAAGAGAAGAGAATATTAGAGAACATAAGGGAAGGGAAGAGACTAGAAGAGAATACAGGACAATAGAAGAGATAAAGAGAAGAGAATACAGGAACATGCAAAGGGATAGAAGAGAAGGGAGGAGAAGAGAATAGAGATTAGAAAAGACTAAGAGAATATATAGGAATCTAAGAAAACAGAACGAGAAGGGAAGGGAAGAGACCGGAAGAAAATGGAAGAGACTAAGAGAATATGGGAGAAAAGAGTACAAGAGACAGGAAGGGAAGAGAGACAGACAGGAAGGGAAGAGACTGTAAGAGAGTATTAGGGAAGACAAGACAAAAGAAACGTGCTCCTGGCCTGGTAACATCTTTATTTTTTCAGGACAACTGTTTAATTTCATTAAAAGCAGGAATCTTTAAATATACATAGTCTTGTCTGTCACGGAGCTTCAAACCTCTGCAGCAGTCATCAAGCTGTGAGAGGCAGCTGCACAAAGGGAATCCTCTCTCTAAGGCAAGCAGCTGAGCAGTGATGTGTTACAGCCACCCATCAGTGTTAGCTGTGCAGCGACACTAATGCCACCAACAGAGCAGATAAGCTCTGGCAGCAGGCACCGAATAGGAGGGGATGCTGCTGTGTGCACAGAAGGTAGATGCACGTTCCCAACGCGCTTGCTGGGTGCACACTAAGTAGCAATTACAGAGTTTTCCATTCACATCCCCAGTGGCCTTACCTCTTCCTCCCATGCCACTTTGAAATGCTTCACTGCAGCATCCAAGGACCTTGCCCCTGTATGGCTGGGCTCAGCAGCACGCTGCGTGCTGGGCAGCATGCATCACCTGCGGGGCTCTGTGATCACCAGGGTCCGGCAAAGGCAGCAGTAGAGAGGCCTCCCTCGGAAATGCGCTGTCTGCCTGCAGGCACAGCCCTGTCATGGCATCTTCTTGAGATCAGGGGCTAAATACACATCTCTGTCCCTGCGAGTGGGGCAAAACAGACCGGAAAAGCCCATCCGTGGAACAGGCTGTGTTCTGGTCTGTAAGCCCCTCATCAGCTATGGTACAGCTGAAGTCTTGTCACTGTCAAACATTTACCAGGTAATACCCTTTAGTGAACTAGAAACTTGCACTAACGCCGCATGCCTGGCAGGCTAGGAAAGGTAGATACATTTGGGGTTATGCACACGAAAGTTCTACAACCTGCTGTGGTTCAAGTGCCATTGTTCTTGTTGGTAAAGGGAAAAGCAGCCTCAGGCCTCCTGCTGGGCTCAGGGGTCCATCAGCTGCACCAGAGCAGCTTTGCTTTCAAGATGCGATACTTGCTATGCTGGTAAGTGACCAGGTCAAACAGGCTGAAATAAAAGCGAATATGCCCAGAGCTGGATGTTACTCGCGCTGGTACTGGTACTGGTGGTAGCAAACGTTTAATGTGAACCACATGCTGAACAGCCCTCAGTATTTCAAATAAGCCAGTTTCCCCTCCCTGGCTGCATTAAAATATGTTCCCCCAGATGAATTTAACCTCGTGGCAGCAAAGCACTTTAGCTCAAGGTACCAAAGAGGAGCTTCAGCAAGGGCACAATCCCACCAGACACACCAAAGAGCGTGAGAACGAGCAGCCCTTCCATAAGAAAGTGTCCTGGGTTCAGCAGTAGCAGTCATTTTTCTCCTTCTTGGTGGCTGGTGTAGTGCAGTGTTTTGAC